TTTAACTTTATTATCACTTAAATTTAACCATTCACTTCTCATGAAAATCTTCTTTAGACAAGTTTATCTTTTTATTTCTATGCTCCATAATTTGTTTCATTCTGTTTGTTTCACCAAAATATTCTCTAAACAAGTTTAACTATTATTTACTTCTTTGTGTTTGTTTCAAATTAACTATTATTTTTCTTAATTTTTCCAATATTTTAACTTTATTATTACTATCACATAAATTTAATTCTCCACCTTATCACCAAAATCTTTTTCAAATAAGTTTTTCTCTTATTTCTATACTAATTTGTTAACTTGTGTTTATTTCAAATTAACCGTTTTTTTTTTCTTATTTTTCTTGCTTTAACTTTATTATCCCTTAAATTAAAATTAAGGTATTTGAAAATAAAACTCTAAATTTTTTTTTGAGTCAAAAGAACTTATATGTACAATCTTTTATATATATATATATAGATATATATATAAAGTAGGGATCAACATAAGGGTCTGTTCCCCTAGCATTTTCCTTCAAAAAATTACCAATCACAGGAAGTAAGTTTAAACTTAATAGACAAATGGAGGTTATTTCTTTTCAGTACATAAGTTTCTCAACTACCTACCGAGAATGGTTATTGCCACACACAAAATGTTGTGGCCACACAAATATATTCGCTTAGAAATAAATAGTTAATTTTGGTATTTAAATACTTTAATTTATTGATTGATTTTAATTATTTAATTAATAAATATTAATTATTCTCTAAATTATTAGTTAATAATTATAATTATCAAATATATCAGTTTACGGATTGATTTTAATCTTTGTTTCTCGGGTGTTTCTGCCCAGGCAATGTAGGACTATTTGGCTTTACGGTAGATTAATGCCATTTTTCTCTGTTGCTCTTCTTCTTTCTGTTTGATATACCTTGTGTTTGGAATTAAGAAAAATGATTTGCACACCCTTTAATTCAACACATAAGCTAACATTAAATTAATTTAACTATTAAAATATAATACAGTTTTAGTCAAGCCAACTGATTTTGCATATCAGACACATGACTGTATCTTTAATTTTTTTCACCTTTAACTTTCAATAAAAAATAATTTTTTAATAAATATGTTATAAAATATATTAAATCAGAATGTATTTATATCAGCACCCTAGAATAAATCAAAGCATCTATGTGTCATTTCTTAATGGATTAGATGCGTTTTCTCCATGTAATTTTGCCTCTTTCTTTTGGTTAACTCTATCCTGAGTTAGGAAATATCATTTTGTATATTGTAACTTTAGCTTTCTGCACATTGTAATTTTCTTAGTTACTTTGTAATTGTATCAATGGTGGAAAAATACATTATTCTCAATTAATTTCAATAAAATTAATTAATTCTTTTTCGATTCAACGAAAAAGAATGTCACTCTTTAAGTGCAATTATTTTATCAATCAAATAACAATTTTTTTCATAGAATCAATCCAATAAAACTAATTCATTGTCATTCAGCGACATTTTAATTGTTTGAGTTTCATTTTCTTTTTTAATATTAGAAGTTTTGAGTTCAAACTGTGTGCTAAGTGAGAAAGGATTAAGAAAATGGAAAACAATAATTTTTGTTTGAATTAACTATTTTGATATACCTAATAACTAATAATTATTGTTATTTATAATTCATAATATAAAATTTATTCAATTAAAGTCAACTGATAATTGTTTTTATAAGTCTAAAATAAACACCTACTGAGACCATCTATGTATTATGGGCATGGATATCAGGCTAGCTTTTACTGGGTTAGATCTATTTGAGATACGCCCAAAATTAGCTCAATCAAACCCTAAACCAAAGACCAGTTTATGATTTTGTACCCAGATTGAAATGGCTTCGATTGCTTGAGAATTAAAGTCTATTTACGTATTAATATAAAATTTGATCTATTGGTTAGCTTTTCAAAATATTAATTAAAATTAAAGTTTTTGAAAGTAGGATGTTAATTTTGTTAAGAGTTGATGACTAAAACGTAAAATCATTTTTATATACATAAAGCAAAGATCAACATACACATTTGAAAGTCTTACCTCAGTTTTATATCTCTCGTAACAAAGAGGAAATATTTTCTTAAACTTTTTTGGATAATTTATAAAATAAAGAAAAAATCATAATTATACTCCAAAAGGTTAACATAATGCATCAATTAAATGTCGAATTTAATCTCTAAACTTTTAATTTTGAATAATTTTAATTCTCAAACATTTTTTTTTGGCACTTTTTTCATCCTTGTTTATAAAAGAATAAAAGTACTTTTTTATCCTTTTCCCAATTGTTTCTATTAAGTCTGTCCAATTGGCTTTTTAAATTTTTTTAATGACCAAAATGTGCATAAAATAAAAGTTAAAAGACTAAAAATGAACAATAAATATTAGTTTAAAGATAAAAAATATGCATAAAACAAAAATTCTGAGGTCAAAAAAATGCCAAAACTGACAAAAAAAAGACAAAAAAAAAAAAAGCATTTTCATAGTTGAGGGACAAAAAATAGTTTAGATACTAAAATTATTCAAATTTGAAAATTCAAATACTAAATTTAGCATCAACATAATGCATTTAATAGGATGTTAGAGGTGGAGATATGTCTAGATTACAAAGAATCCATTAAGATTTTTCATAATCTTTTGCAATTAAGGCATTAATTACAAAGGAGTGATTCCCTACATCTCGCAATGTTTTATGGTGCTTTCACATCACATTCCAGTCACATTAACTATTCATCACACTGGCTTGTAATTTTTATCAATATATGTTAAATTGTAGGAATTTTTTTTCATGAAAATAACAATAGATACATCATACATCAAGTACTTTATTAATAAGTTTTATGATTTAAAATATCAATCATATTTCTAAACCAAGTTGATATACATGGTGACAATCTTAACTCATATTAAAATTTTACAATATCTATATATCATCAAATGATTTTATGTATATCAAATCACACAATTATTGATAAAAGATATTAATGCACATATTTTGTTGAGTGAAAATAGTCATCATAATATTGTAACATAAAATTATGATTTTTTAATAAATAAAATTATGAGATTTTATAGTAAAATAAGATTGTGCTAATAATTTTTCATATTTAAATGATTGATAAATAACTTCCTACCTAATGAACTTCAATTAATAATAAATGTTGCTTTATCATGACTTGTGATCGAATGACCAATGCATATGTATAGTATTTTCATGCCTGATTTTAGTTGTCATTTTTTTTTCAATTAAAAAAACATATTATACAAAGGATAAAGGACACTCAAACCATGGGAATAATAGTGCATAATTATACTCCGAGTTAAAAGATAAAATCTATTATGACTCACTTTTCTTTTATGTAATAATGATCAATTAGCATCTTCCTACTATATATATATATATGTCCCAATTTCAACCTTTTCTTCTCAAGAACCATTCTTTCCTCTCTTTGCATTCCCTTCAATTTGATCTACCCTCTTTTCCTCATTGTCATACAATTAAAACTAGCTATAGCTTCCAATGATAAGTGTATATCAAAGTTATATTCAAATAAAAGACAAGCTGAACGCTTATTTTCACTAAATTATAGTGGTTCTTGAAAAAATTCATGTGTTCAAATAAAAACAATGCTTTTCAAATCTATCTTTACCAATATCGAATTAATAATTTATCAAAATATGCATTCATATCTTCCTTGACCATGTACATATTTTTTCCTCCAACATTTGCACAAATAATTCTTTTCAATAAGCAAAGAAATAATGAAATTTATTTCATTTGCAATAACCCCTTTTTTTTTTCTCACATTTGTCGCAGGCTTGGAGTGCAAGGACCATGATTCCCCGATGATCTTCTTGTGAACATGGCTGAGAAGAATATCAGGGAATTGGAATCGAAGTATAGAGTACAAGAAGTGCTAGCACTTCTAGTATCCACATAATCTGTTACCAGTGTTGATAACTTATTGTGTAACGTGCTACGTTTAGGCCCACTTCATTCTACTAGTAAGCAATGTTGTTCGAAGACTCTCGTGGTATTTAATTTAGATCCTACCATCTTCACTTCTTAAGAAAACTTTCAAACCTTTACAACTAAAGAGATTTTAGTAAAGAATTAACAGCTAAGAGGATTTCTAATATAAAACAAAGTATTAAGATCATATTTTTCAACTGTAATTTTTGTAATAGATTCCGGTACCCTATATCCAATATAATAAAAGCTTAATTATTGCTGTTTTGAAAAAAAAAAATCTGTACAAGAACAAGTTTTTTATAAAAGGGACAAGGAGTAGAGATGACTAGACCATGTAATCTATCTTATGGCCTACAGGTTCCCGTCATATCATCCGTTGGAATTTCACGAACTTGAAGGGTGGTTATTAAAAATATATGCAGGGGGTGTTTATTTTTTATTTTTAATAAATAATTATCACTTATTCGTTGATAAATTAGATATTTAAAATTATAAATAATAATAATTATTAATTATTAGATATTAATTATCAACCATTAATTATATTAAAAAGGCTAATTCAAACAGTCTCGCAAGCCTTTATCTAACTGGTAGAAGGATGACGCCATGGTATCAGCACAATAGTTCTTCTCCTGCAAAACATGCCTTATTTCGCATACCCAGTTTCTTGACATGAGATCTTTACATTTCTTAACTAGATGTGCTAGTGCAGTAGTTTCTTTATCATTACCTACTTCGTGTTGCCAGCTAGGAATCAGTTTCAATTATCAACTTCCAGAATCCCTTTTGCCAAGTAATTTCCACAAAAATTGGTATTTGTGGGACAAATTGTTTGAACTTCTAAGCCTAAAGCATGGAGATGTCTTTCAAGGGACCGCTCTAGCGTTTAATACATTAGAATCCCATTCTCTCAACTTCTAAGCTTAAAGAATGGAGATGTCATGGAAAAGGCAGCGGAAATCCATTGAGTTTTTCTTGTAGAAAGTCAAAAGGATACTGTAAATAAAACCAATTAAGTCCATGCTTATTCTCAAATATGAAGATTCATACATTAAGAAATAAATAAACAATTCAAAATTTCTTTAAAAAAATGATAATAAAAAGACACATGGCACGCCATGGATAACATGTAAACCCCACGGGCTAGGGTAGCCAGCCGACCTCCCTTCTCCCATGGATCTTGTGTGGGGATGGCTGCACCATCCGATCAGCATTCTCACCAATTCTGGGGACAAGTATATAGCTCCTGGCTTCTTGTCAAAGTCTGGTGCCCCTTGCACATCTCCCCTGTACTCGGTTTCAACACACATTCTTACTGTGCCTTCCAACTATAATTAAACACAAATGCTACCCACACATTCCTTGCAAGAAAATGACAGAGATATATCCTCGTCCATGGATTTAACATGTTTCCATCAAATCAATCCCTCATGTTGTTCTCTTCATCTTCATCATCACTTATATCAAGGTCTGCAAGCAACTCTTCCAACGGGACAGAAGGCAAATCATCCCCAGTAGTCATGGAAGCATTCTCTGATGGCTGGTATTCTCTATTGCGGTACAACGATATATTGAACCTTAACTCAGGGTTCTCTTCCAGGTCTCTCAAGAACCCTTCATACTCTGAAGCCATCTTGTCATTGTCGGATCTGCCTTTGGATTCATCAACTTCCATCTCAAGAGACTTAAGCTTCCACGGACGAGCCTTGCCACGCTTCTTCTCATGCTTTTCCCCATAGCTCTTCTTAACCAAAATTGCATCTGGAAGGGTCAGGCCTCTGTACTTGTCCAATTCCATGTCATTACTGTTTGCTCCATAGATGTCATAACCAAGAGCATAATCACCAGCATTCAAAAGATGGCCTAGATGTGTTCTTACATAGAAAATATTATCGTTCCTCCCAAAGTCAGATTTTCGAGCCACTTGGACATCTGCCAACTTGTACTTGGTTCCACCAAAATCAACTTCATTTGAAACAGGCTCCACATCCAACACGATGTATTCTACAAACTGTCTGCTAGTGAATAAAGATTTGAATGGCACCCTCCAATACTGGTCAGCACTCAAGAAACAGTGCCTCAGAGTGAATGGGTCCAGTAAAGCAATTCTGTCCGTCACTTTTGTGCAGATAACAATAGGACCAAGATTTCCCAAACTAGTTGCAACTTTTGGAGGCAAACAGATCAAATCCTCACGGCAAATAGGGCAGATTTCAACTGAGAATGTATACTTGTAATTGTAATTATTGCTCTTAGGATCATGAGAAACTAGCTGTTTATCATGGCGATTCCTAAGTGGAGTGACTTTACCCACAAATTCCACAAACCTCATGGCATGGCTCCTATTGGCAAAGAAGAAATCAATACCTTCATCGACCTGCTTGATTTTAATGGCCTGGGAAGCAGCACCATGCTTCAAAATCAACTGTTCCAGATAAAAGAACGTTCGTCTGTGGGGAACATGCTGCCGGAGTTGCACAGCAGCAACCCACTGATCAGGGTTAGCCTGTATTCGCGTACAACTCTCACACATGTGATCTTGCTGAACATACTCAACGACATAAGATTGTTCAAGAATTGCTCCATTAAGCACTTCCTTCTGAACCGTGAGCTTGACCTTGATCCTTTTAGAGTGAGGTTCAGTCCAAACAAATGATGCATCAACAAGCCTAACCTTCTTATTTAAATCACCCAATTTCCCAATGCAAAATTTCAGCAGCTCCTTTGATTCTAATTGGGCTTTAATCCAAGTCCTCGGTGGCTCAAAGTAGCTATCACACTCAGGACAATGCATAATGATGACATGCTTCTTTAATCCTTCAGTGATATCAACTTCAGACCGCAAACATGTGACACACATATTGGCACCATTTGGAACAATAGGAACACCACATTTGCAACATAAAATATGGCCAATGGTTTGAGGAACCCTGAACATAGAAGATTCAGCCATGGCAACCGTTCCTATTCCAAACATGACAAAATAAAATAAAAAAAAAAAAATGAGTCGAATAAAGGTTTTCAATTAATAACAGCAGAATCTAAGGAAAGGTCACAAGAAAAAACGAGCTGATTATTCAATCCCAACTCGAGATTTTCCTTTCTGAAGCAATACACAATTTGTAAGCTACAAAGAACAGAAAATTGAGATAAGGAATCAATAAATAATAGCTGCAAACACATTGTAAGGGGATCACAGACAGAAAAACAAAAAATAAACACCCCCCCCCCCCAAAAAAAAAAAAAAAAAAAAAAAAAAAACAGAGCTTCTGAATTTATCAATATTAAAGAAACCCCACAAAGAAGAAGCAGAGGTTGTAAATTTATCAACACTGAACCAAGAAGCTATAAAATAATTCAAAAAAAAAAAAAAAAACTCCTCAAATTTAAGACCAGACCCATGTACAGTTCATAATCAACCAAGGAAAATTCAATAAGAGTGTATCAAAAGGAGAAGGGAAAAGGAAAAAAGAGGGTACCTTTCTTCAGTGTTTTCAATGTCGGCTACAGACAGCAATTTATTGCACGTTAGAGTTGTGCGATTTCTATGGAGGAAGATGAAACAAAAAACCCTACCTCCTCCAGAAGCTCGGTTAATGGCTTGCAGCTGCCAGTGGATTATTTGGGTTTGGGCCAATCAAATTATGGGCCTGTTAGCCCAATTATTTTCCTTTTTTTTTTTTTTTCTTTTAAGTGCGAAGTCAAAATCTAAAACGGAACGGCGACTCTGTTTTCTGGTTTTCTGATCGAAACGCATATTCTCCGGCGAGTTACGGAGGGAAGCTTCTGAGATTCCCTGTATTCCGGTCCATATTTTGCGAGAACGTCGGGAAGGGCGAAAATTCTACTGGGGTGTTTCTGGTTGTGATATTTTGTCAATAAAACTGGTGTTTGTATAGCAAATCGGAAAATTTTGGAATTGGAGGAGAGCAGGGCGGATGATTTGCTGGTTTTCTAGACGGTGCTTCTGCACTGCCGCACAACGGCCGTGGCTCTTTGTGGGTTTGGGCAACCCAGGCGAAAAGTACAAAGGGACAAGACACAATGTAGAATCCATCACCAGGTATCTCAAAACCAAAAATTATGCTTCTCTGGTTCTTTCTTTAACTTGTGGATTCCCTTCATCTTTGCTTGAAGCAGGTGGGGTTCGACATGATTGATGCATTTGCTGAGGCACAGGGGATTGAGATGAACACTGTTCATTGCAAGGCTCTTTTTGGACAAGGTATGTGAATGTGAATTTTCTGTTTTCAACCTTTTCAGTCGCAATAGAAACATTCCTTAGTTGCTATCTGTCTAAGTTAATAAGCTTACAAATATGCTTATGAGCGTGACCGGTCTTAGGTTTCGTTGATGATGCACCTGTCCTCCTTGCAAAGCCTCAAACATACATGAATTTGAGTGGTGAATCTGTAAGTGATTGAAACATATACTTTGTTAATGAATGCATTTATCAATGTCCTGTTAAGCCTACGGATGGAAATGGACAATCTTTACGTTTGCGCTTCTTTCAATTTTCAATTTATTGTTGAATCAACCTGTAGACAAGTATTATTGTTCATTTACATTTATGTGAGTTAACCTTGCATGTGTAATTGAGGGAACTTTGAGGAGTCCTTTGTCTGTAAATACATTTTGAGGAGAGCATTTTCATTTGTTTTGTTAAATCAATTTTCCAGCAACTGCTTTTGTGATTCTACCTTTAATACACTTGAAATTTTACATAATGATGTTATACAATGCTATAACATGTATAACTTTCTCTTAAAATGTAGGCTGGACCACTTGCCGCCTATTATAAGCTGCCTCTTAATCGTGTGATAGTGGTAATGTTTCTCCTTATTGGCATTTGATGTCTCTCTAAGTTTTTGATCATTCATTAATCATAACCTTTTAAATTGATAGAGAAGAGATTTCAATTTGTTTTCCTGTCTTATTTAATGTTCTCCTACTTGTTTAGTTTCATGATGACATGACATTACCATGCGGAGTGCTTCGTCTTCAAGACAAAGGAGGTCATGGAAGTCACAATGGGTATGAATGGATAAAAATTATCATCTTAATGCTAGAGAAAATATTACATGTAAAGTTACATTTGAATTATCCTTCAAATAAGTAGGAATTGACCAAATGAGTGAAAAAAAGTAGAAGAAAGGTAGAAAAGAAAGAAATTTATTGTTGCTACATATCCATTCTGTCATTCTTTGCAATATGTGAGCTGATCATCAATAAGAAAAACTTGCTATTTCAGTTCGAACCTTTGCTCTCTTATTATGTAACTGCTTTGTGGATGTTACATACTTCTTATTAGTTATTCAGGCTGAAGAGTGTGATCTATCATTTTCGAGGCAACAGAGAATTTGCTCGGCTAAGAATTGGTTTGTATTAAATCCCCTGTTTATTTGATTTGCATATGCTTATCGGTTTTCTTCTTCTTGAGTGGCTATATTATTATGAATTATGATTTTTTTTTATCAGGTATTGGAAGGCCACCAGGTCAAATGGATCCTAAAGCGTTCTTGCTGCAGAAGTTCAATGCAACATCTCGAGAGCGGGTAAGATTTAAGTAGTACTTGATTGCATTAGACAACAAATAGCTTGTCATTTTAAGGTGCAGCATCCTTCACAAGCAAGTTACTTGATTATAGCTGAAACAAAAAATTTGGTCTGAATCTCTAACTGCATCACGTGTTGCTATTGAAATACATTTTAACCCAAATTTTGAAAATAGTTTTGTTTTCTGAAGATAATAATAAGGATAATTGATAGAGTTCATGAAATTTCAACTGCTGAAATTGGAAGTGAGATAAAATTATTTTTGCATTCTTTACATAAATATTGATTTGGAATGAAAATTCTAAAGAATATATAGATTGATTAAATTTAAAGGTTTACTCTTTATATGATGGGATTATGGCATAGTAGTCATTTCTGAAAAGTCGATGTTGGCTGCTTCTAAGCCAATAAATTGTGTTTGGATCATTGTTGATCCCATTAGTTTGGAATAGTTGTTCTATGTTTGAATCATACTACTTTTAAGCATTCCGATCTGTTTGTTAACTTATGAGCTTTAGTTCTCCATGCATCTACTCTTTTGTCGGTACACCTTATATTTTTAATTTCCCATATGACATGCCTCTGTCACCGTCTTGTTATGGTATGGGGCGTAGTCGAACTGTCTATTGATATGGTTATCTTTCCTCTTGGACAAGATTGATACTGCCTTACAAGAAGGAGTTGATGCGCTGAAGCTTCTTTTATCTAAAGGCTTGACAGAGACTGCAAGAAGTTTCAACCCCCAACAGAAGTACAAACACATAAGATTGCAAACGATGCCACCTTGACTCATGAAGGTATAATTATATGTTGTTCCTTAAAGAGAAAACATAGAGAATTCCTCTTGATAGCTATTAATGAGATCATTTTACTGGCAATTTCAATTTGTTAAAGCAATTGAGTGACTTACCCTGTTTCTAATAGCAACATAATTAACTCGTTATTATTTTCATTGAATAGGAGGATTTACACAAGCAAATTTGGATTTTCCCAACATGCAGAGTGCTATGGTGCTGCACATGTTAAACATTTTACTTTGTTTTCCGGTTTTGGGGGCAAACAACCACGGTTCACGAGGGAGCAAAAGAAAAATAGAAAGTTAAAGACATTTAACCCCTACGTTCCTATGTAAAATGATTTTTACAATAAGAATTTGAGATTTTAGGTTAAGATATTTCAATTTCAAAGACTGATATGTCCAGAGGGTTTGGAACTAGAGCGTGTTGTAAAACTTTCTCCATCTTTTTTGAGAGGACATTATTAAACAATCTTCAGAGGATGTTAAGGGGCTGCTCTATCTTTTCTTTTCTTTTTTTCTCCTTGGCTTTTTTCATATTTCCTTTGTTTTTTAATGAAAAAATATGTCTTGAGGGATTTGAGAGGACAAAATAATTCATAGGTAGTCCATTTACAGCAAAGTACTTGTATAATATCTAGCAATGCATGTCAGCCCCTCCGTCCCAAAATACTGCCCCAAAATAATAGAGATTTTTTTTATTAAGAAATTATTTAAAAAGTAATTGTTATTTTTTTATATTTGAATGAATACAATTTTTTCTATTTTAACTTTATTATTACTATCACATAAATTTAATT